TAGAATCCAGGACTGCCACAAAATCCTTTGAATGGGCATCAGGATAGATTTCTTTATATTGATTAGCAGACCCAGTGCATTGAAAGTAGACTGAATAGTGTCTATGCTGGAGATAAAATTATCAACTGTCTTATCCAAAAAGAGCAAGGGACCTTCAAATGGGAGGTCTTGAATGGTTTGTTGCACCTCTAGGGGAAGACCTGATGACTGCAATCTATATAAATGCAGCATACTGATGGTAGGGAAACCAAAGATCAAGCCGCAGAGTCTGAAGCATCCAGACTTGCTTGCAAATGAACTTCACTTCACAGCAGTTAACTCCTGCTTTGTCTCATCAAGGAGCTTGTCTTTGAATTTCAAGATATTATCTCACAGGCTTAAATCTTATCAACTCAGCAGCGTCTGCTGGTTATGATCCCAAGCTGTAAACCTCCTGTGGAATAAAGTTGAAGGGAGGTGGTTACAGAAGTGCTCAAATCTCTGTGAATGGACATATCTTCTTTCCACCCTTTTAGCAGTGGGAAATAGGGAAGATGGTTTTGCCATAAAACCTTGACAGGTTCCAGGATAGGCTCATTAATAGGGAGAGTAACCCTAGAGTGTGTCCTGCAGAGGCTAAAACGTCCACAAGCCTGTGTGACCTTTCTTGCACCCTTTTGATTGGATAGCCAGAGCTGTAGCCACCTTCCTCAACAAGTCTTGATATGAGCCCTGACATCATCAGGAGGGGAAGAAGTAGACCCAGTCACTAACACCCCATCAGAAGACAAAGATGAAGAGGCTAAGGGTTGTTGAGAAGGTCCCCCCTCCAACTCATCCACAGGAAAGTCCTGAGTGCATGGTTCCCTCTGCATAGTACCAATCCCCGTACCAGGGGAGGGAAGACAGTGACCTTACTGCAGACGCTCCCAGTGCCTAGCTGACGTAGAAAAGCAGAAAGGAAGGGAATAGAGAACCTCTAGGATGTGGAGGGAAGCCCCAAGGGATCCAAAAGGGCCACTGATATGGAGGCAGACCCAGCTATGTGCAGGTCATTGGTAATTAGAGTTCTGAGGCTGTGGCTAGTACTATGGTGGGTATGTTCGTGTCGAGACACATATGATCCGATCTTAGAGTCTGTTGAGGAGTTTGCTTCCTGAGGCCACGGTGAGGTTGACACGGTCAGTACCAATCAGCTCCAAATTTGGAGATGTGGGTACTGGTGAGATCATTGCTGGCTTCTCTCTACATGGAATCTACAGAGAGGAGCTACAACTGTAGAAGTCATCGGTACTTAACGGTACACTGAGGCTGGAGCTGGGACTGTAGAAGTGTGCACTTCTTCCAATCCCGGCACTGAGTGAGATTCCTGAATAGCAGGAGAAACTGGTACTGAAGGTTACGCAATTCTCTGGCTGCCTCCAAAATCTCAGGTGCAAAATGAACTGGAAAGGGCTCCTGAGTCTAAGGTACTGAAAGGTGCACTGATCCCTCAGGGATTGGTCTCAATGGACCCTTCTTGGGCTCTAGAGTCAGCACTCCATTCTGGCTTATTGACTGTCTGGGAGTGTCTCTTCTTTGAGTGCACCTCCAGGTCCTTACCTCGGCTTGGTGCCTTCACTGTAGACTTTGAAGGCCCAGTTACTCAGTGTTTGGGAGACTTACGTTTTCTCTTCTTAGGTACCTGTGACTAGGCTCTGCCTCTGAACTCAGAACAGAGTGAGAGCACTTCTAGCTGAACTGGACATGCTCAGTACCGGTTCTGAGCGGGAAAGTTCCGATGTTGGATGAAGTGCACACTGCATAAGTAGGTACTTGCGTCTTGCAGCCCTGTCCTTTTCTGATCAAGGTTTGAATCCCCTACAAATGTTACATTTGTCGCTCACATGTGCCTTTTCCAGATACTTAGGTACCTGAGATGCGGGTCACTCACAGGCATAGACTTGTTACACGAGCGACAGGCCTTGAAGCCAGGAGAATGAGGTGTTAGTCCACTAGAACCTGGTACCCAACTGGAAACTGTTAACCCTATTACAGAAAATTACTATCCTAAACTTATTCTTATATCTAAATCTATACAAATATACTACATGAGACTGAAAACTAACTCTGCAGATACTATAGAGGTAAGACTTGCAGATGCAAAGACTGGAGCTCCAACAATTATCACTGGTGGAAGAAAGGAACCGAGGGTTGTCAGGGGCACCAGAGGGGGCTCACACTGCCCCAACAGGTACTGTTGGGGGAAAAATCTCTGACAACTGTGCATGAGGCATGCACATACCTACAATGGAATGGATGTGTGCAATCACTCGAAGAAAGCTTAGTTACTTTCACGTGTATAGTTAGGGTACCTACCAATTTCACGGCCATGAAAAATGCGCCACAGACCGTGAAATCCGATGTCCCCTTGTTCCTAGGAGTGCCCCAGCAAAAGGGACTCATAGCTCTGGCTGGGCTGGGGAGGAACAGGACTTGTCCATCCCTGCACAGCTACTCTCAGGGGTAGGGGGAGACCAGACCTGCCTCCAGGTGCCTCCCCCTGCCAGTGGCGTAGCCAGGTGGAAAAAACAGGGGAAGTGGAGATAAAAGACTCGCTCCGGTCTTTGGCACTAAAGGACCGCCACACGCCCGCCACCACAATGCCGAAGACTGGAGCGAGTGAAGGACCAGATGCAGAAGTGCTGCTGAAAACCCGAAGCGCCGCCGGATGAGTACCAGGGGGTGGTGCCTTTTTTTTAATCTCCGCTCCCCCGACCCGCCGCCGAAGACCCGGAGCGCCACCAGTCGAGTAAAAATTTAAAAGGCGCCAAAGAATTAAAAAGGCACCACTGCTGCTCAGTGAGGGAGCGGCCGCTGCCCCGCTCCCCCACAGCTACGCAAGTGCCCCCTCCTGCAGGATGCTCTGGGACTGTACAGCAGCCTCAGAGGTTCCTGGAGCTAGAAGAGACTTGTGGACCTGGGTCCAATCTCCCCTTGTTCTAGGATTGCCCCAGCAAAGGGGGCTCCTAGCTCCAGCTGGGCTGGGAAGGGACAGGACTTGTCCATCCTCTGCACAGCTGCTTTGGGGGGAGGAGGAGTCCAGACCTATCTCTGGGTGCCTCCCCCTGCTGCAGGATGCTCTGGGACTGGGAAACAACCCCCAGCAGTTCCTGCAGCTGGAGGAGGCTTGTGGAGTTGGATCTGATCTTCCCTGTGCTGCTGGGAGTGCCCCAGCAAAGAGGGCTCCTAGCTCTGGCTGGACTGGGGGAGGGATAGGACTTGCTCTTTCCCTGCAGAGCTGCTCTTGGGCATCTCTCCCCGCTGCAGATAGCGCCGCATCCCCTCCTCTGTACTCGCTTCCTGTCCCCTCTCTTTGCAGCTGCCTGGGGAGGGGACATCGTACAGAGAACTGCCCCCCGTTCCTGTTGCAATTAACTTATTTCAAGAAAAATAAAAAGTGAGGTACTTTGCAGAATTTTTTGACTGACACTTGACAGCAGCAAATCACAGTCAGGACTCAACTCACTGATTGGTAGATATGGACATTGTGGAAGTTTTATAGTGTGTTGGTCTCGACTGTCTACAAGAAGACACATGCAATTACAATAAAATGAGTGTCCAAAGTAAATCAAAAACCTCAAAAATGATTACTGTAGTGCATCATGTGAAAGAATTAGGAAGCCAAATTCTACATACCAATGGTGACAAACTATTTTGTACAAGCTGCAATGTTTCATTGGCTGACGCTGGTAAATAAAAAGTTAAAAAAACAAAAAACAAATTTCTTCTCTTTTTATTAAGACGATAGAGAACTCAGATCTGTCATTTAGCTAGAATGGAACTTGTGGATGCATTGGGAAGAGCTAATATACCACTGAAAAAACATGATCACCCAAAGCTGCATGAATTCATTCAACGGAATGTACAAAATGCCGGTTGTTTACCAAGTGCGAATATGCTATGACAGAACTACCTTCCAAAGGTTTTTGCTATACATTTTGAGGAGATGAAGTCTCCAATTAACTCATGTGAGTGTTTTGTAATTATTTCGGATGAGTCCACAGATGAGCAAGACAACTATGTACTGCATGTTCTGTTTCATTTTATTTCTGACAGGGCCGAAGATGTACACACAGGAAAGTGAACAACAGTGTTCGCCGACTGCATTTATTTGGATGCTGTTAACTACACTAGTTTCTCAAGCGGTTTCAAAATACAGTGTGAACTCTGACAACGTATCTGCTTTTGTACGTGACAATGCAACAATGTCCCTCCCAAGATGGCCAAGACTAGCAGCTAAGAGTCCCTGGCTGGGGCACTCCCAGCAGCAGGGGGAGATCAGATCATGTCCACCTGCGGGAATCTCCTGCGGCAGCTCTGAAATCCAGCTCTGAAGGCAGCACAGAAGTGAGGGTGAAAATTTTATGACCCCCCCCCACCACAGGTTTGCAACACCACAAACACAATCCCCCTTTGGGTTGGGACCCCCACAGATACAACACTGTGAAATTTCAGTTTTAAACTCTGAAAATGTTACATTTACCAATTTTCAATTCTATGGCTGTGAAATTGACCATAGTGGACCATGAATTTGGTAGGGCCCTATGTCTAGTGTTACAGAGTGCAAGCGTAGTTTGACTTCTGTTTGTCTTTATTCATTGTTTACTCATTCCTAGGGAAGTGTTCCCTGTTAATCACGAAAAAAGTGCAAAGACAAACATTAGTACAATACTACATTGTGAGGCTAAAACAGATAAAAGGTCATTATTAATTTTAATGTATCATGTAGTTAGTCAGACTTGCTTGTCTTGATTTCATCTATATATAATAACTGAATTAGTAACATGAATTATGATACTAGTTTTGAACTAGGTGCATACTTGTTTTGAACACTTTCTTCAATGGGAAATGCATCATCAACTAATATCTAATGCATTCTTAAATTTTATATATCAATATCCCTAGTACATATAAAATACGTCAATTTGAACTATTTTTATTTTTATCAATGCACATTAGTAATAATTTTTCTCTCTCACCTGTACAATATCCCTTTCTGCATATTTTCCTCTTGAGGAGATTCTGACTACATCACCATCCAATTCTTCCATAGCTTAAAAAAAAAAGTAGTTTATCCACTTGCCATTTCAGCCACCCAACAAAACTATGTTATCAAAAAGAAATTTTAGATCCTTCTGAACCCAGAGCAACAAGTCATCTTTCTTTCTATTAATTTAAGGCACCTCTTAAGATCCTCCTTTATACAAAATGTATAAAAGTACAACAGTTAATTTGCACTCTCCTATCATTCACGGAATAATCTGTTTCTTATCTTTATAGTTTTATTTACTTCTTTAGCACAAAATAAACCCTGGTATGGAAAGCCAGTACAAAACTTTTTGGATCACTTAAATCCTACCCCAACATTTTCTGTAGTCGCAGTAACACAGTCGCACTGTAGCCCAATACCCAAATTTGAGTGTGGGACTCTCTTCTAACTCCCATTCCTTCAATTAACTGAACTTTATTGATAAAATAAATTTCACAAATTATTTCTATTTCTCTCTCAGATAAAGAAACCTTTTTCCTTAGCCTTTGACATCTTTCGGTATGGCATGAGGCAGGAGTGATTCAAACTTATATCTGGAAATGTAATGACTGCCATTGTCTAGTAGTAAAAAGCTCTTGAAGATTATGATAGTAAATTGATTGTGTAACACTTTAGGTAAGGAATTTATTCAGTGTTTACATAATTTTTTAATTTGACAGGTCATAACTGATTTGAATGTGAATATCTGCACCACACTAATAAACAATCAGACTCCACATGTATAGAATTAGAAAAATTAAAGTGATTTTCTATTCTAAAAAGTGACTAAAAATGGCACTACACTTTTATGGTCTCTCAATGATTTCGAGAGCAAAATGTACTTAGTTTACAAGTAATTTTTTTTTTCTCCCATGAACTCAACCTGGAATATAAATTGAAGTTTGATTTTTTTTCTTTCTTGTGCATCAGAACCAGTAATAAGAGTTCTGCAGGTCAAAATCTGCTCTAAGTGACACCTGTGCAAATCCACTGCCTCTGATTCTTCAGACATTCATTTTTTCCTTTTTGATTTTTTCCATCAGTTTCACTGCTGAGGCTATCACTGCAGTATATATCACCTGAAGCTTAGCTGATAACAAAACTGAAGTAAAATACCATAAGTGATTAGATACTTTTTGTAAACGATTTTCGTCTCTGCCGGGTCATAGTACTAAAGTCTAGGAAGATTAGAAGTTTTTTTCCTTCAACCATAAGTTACTTTTTTTTGTAAACTACTTCCAGAAGACATCAGAAGTGCTGTGATCTTTGTGCCACCCACTGAATTGAGCTCCAAGTTAGAGTTTTGTGGCATCACATCTATTCTACATAGATGCATTGAAAAAACAGTTTCAAAGCTAATTGTACAAGTGTTATATTTTTAATGAGATGCACCATATTCTGAAGTCTTTAAAATACTCAACGTTCTGGATATAATTTGGTTTGCAAGTTATTCTATCTAGAACTGGTTGAAAGGAAATGTACTATTTTTCAAACCTGAAATGTCTTACAGAAGCAAGTCCAGTTCAATGAACTTTTGATCATTCACAGACAGTGTTCTATTGGACCTTGTAAGGTTCCCTGCCAATTCACCTAGTGGGTTGCTGGGACTCCAAGGCTCCAGGACAACCCTGCCATGTAGACTGCCCTGGGACTGGGGATCCTGGTGTTCCAGGGACCATAGCAACAAAGCAGCCCCACCATGCAGACTGCCCCAGGACCAGGGACCGTGGGCTTCCAGGGTTTGTGGCTCTGAGGCAGACCCACCCTGTGGACTGCCCCACAGCTTCCAGGGTCTGCAGCTCTGTCATATGGACTGCTCTGGGACCAAGGATTCCCAGCTATCAGGGTCTGTGGTAGCGTTACCATGTGGACTTCTGTGGAGCTGGAAGCCTGGAAACCCTAGAGGCTCTTGGCCTTCAGGCCCCTGGCTGCTGTGCTGGGAGCTTGGATGTCCTAGGGTGGGCTCCCAGGATCTGTGGCAGCCTTGCCATGTGGACTGCCCTGGACTCAGGGCTTCCAGATGCCTGGGCTAGCTGGCTCCCTGGGCTGCCCAAATCCCAAGTGGGCAGCCTAGGGAGCCTGCTGGCCCAGGCATCTGGAAGCCCCGAGTCCAAAGAAGTCTATATGGTGTGGTTCTGGGGCAGATATAGACTCTGGGAGCCGAGCAGCTACTGACTGAAATTGACATTCTTGTCAGCTCCACTGCTGATAATAATGGTGAAACTGATAGTGTCAATCTCAGTCAGAGCTGCTGGTCTCGGGGGACATTTTGTTTGGGAAACACCGTGTGCTGGTGTTTTCAGTGTTTTGGGGGATTTCTGGCTCATAAGAAATTTTGAAAAATTTTATTTTGGTCTGATTTGGAATGAATCCAATCTCTGAAATATCAATTGCGCACTATCCAGAAAACCCACGTTTTGGACAGCTCTAGTTCTATCCTTTGATCAGCCCACAGCATTGGCTTATCAATTTTTACTCATAGCTGTAAATTTTATTTACGTTTGTGGGTTCTATTTGAGAGAACTGCCCGTAGTTCTGTAACTGATGGTTCCCAAGTTCTTTTGCGGGGAGAAAATGCTCTGGAGATTCATCTGCTGGCTAATTAATAGCAGACTCTTGTTTTCAACTCGCCCCTCCCTCCCCCGCTGTTTAGGCACTAAAGAAAATGAAGAAAAATACTTAGTTTCCTCCAGTTCAGGACAGAAAGACACTCCCTCTCTTAGCAGAATAGCCTATCAGTGCCCTGCTACAATACATCCTCCTTTTTAAATTGGTCTAATCCTCATCCCCACCTAATATCAGGAAGCCCTTTTCAAGATTCATAGCAAATTTTTGAGTGATTAAAAGACAATATAAAAATGGTGTAATGTTTCCTGTTAGTCCACATGTAGACACCCAGGTATTCATCACTGCCCTATGGTTTAGTAAGGTGCATGGGGATTACAACTCCTGCAGGGCATGTATTTTGATCCTTGTGGTGCCCAATGGTACCACTGGATCAGTGTTTCCAGGACTGGCATGGAGGTAAAAATGGGGTTGTTATTTCTGGACACTCAGTTTGTGTGAAACTTGATAGTAGGTACCTTATTCTGCTGACCCCTACTTTTTCTAGTCTTGTTTTATTGGTTTCATTATTGGACTTGAGTCCTAGGTTTATTTTCTCTTTCTCGGGTATAAGCCAACCTCTGATGGAGGACAAAATTTCTCCTATGAGCAGGTTATTTCATTATTGGCCGCTTCAGGGTTTCTTGCACCTTTCACTAATGCATCTGGTACCGGTTAGAGTTTAAGATAGAATATGGCATTAATTGGACCATTGGACTGATCCAATAGGGCCATTACTTTGATCCTCTGACAGAGGATTATAAATACATTCTCTGTTAGCGATGGTCACTTTTTAACTTGCCACACTTTTTATGTATTGTAGATATTGCAAGTATGGCTTCTTTTTGCTTGAAGACAAATGAAAGCATATCCATTTTATACAAATATAGGCAGACATGGAAGGACTAGATGTTTTAATCAGTAAATGTCAATTTCACCACACACACATAAACCAAATAAAAATAATACTTCCATTGATAATCAAATTTTACAGACAGGCAAAGTAAGAAAAATGTTGCTTGAGAACATATTAATATTTGATTTAATGACATTTACTTTGTATATTTTGATATCTGATATTGAAAATTTGTTTTAATGGTTATCAAGCTTTAACTTTTTGAATCTCAACATCTACTGTCACTGAATAATTATGCCTGACCGCAACAGTTTGTCTGACCATCCTCTAATTTACTGCAAGTATGAAAATTCGAATAGATAAAAAAAGAAAAAAAATGCTTAAACCCCATAATTCTACGCAACAGTGAAAATACAATTGATAAACAGAGAAAAAAATGCTTAAAAACAAACTGATATTTTCTGTTAAAATTATACAAAAAAAGTAACCATCGAGTTCTGCCAAGCCTAAATATAGGTCAACATTTTCTGGAGCTACAACTGCAACCTCAGGGTAACTGTAGCCCCTGTTCTCTGGCTCTCTAAGGGGTCAAGGGATGATGTTCAATAGGCCTCATATTTGTAGACCAACTGGACACTTCTTGCTCTTCCCCTGCCAGCTCTGTGTTGAAGTGCTGATACCTGCCACAGAATATAACTTTGTAGAATGCTGGGGGAGTGCAGGCCCAATCAGGTGGCCTCTCTACAGCTTGGATGTTGTTTGGCTGCATTTAGGGTTTTTTGTACCTGTCTGGGGATCAAGAGTCAGGATTCTGCTCTAAAAGTTTGGAAGAATTTTAAAATAATTTTGGAACTTTTTTGTTCACACTATACTAGTCTCCCAACACTGTTGCTAAATTATGCTAGTCCAAAATCAAGCGGAGATAATATAATCACATTATATGAAAATTAAATATAATCTAGATAATATCTTAAATTTACTCAGAGTTCTTTTATTTCTTTGGTTATTGCTGTTAGAAAGGTCAGGCACACAGTCAATACTACCAGCCATCTGAAACTGCACAAATAACTATCTGTTCAGCAAAACTTCTTGAGCATACCCACTTTTCTCTTTTTACATAACAGCTTGTGGAGCATTATAAATGAAGAGTCCACATATGGTTCTGTGAACTGAACAGGTGTTCTTAGGGGCAATATAACTCCACATGCAGGGTTGTAAGCATGTTGAGCTATCAATCAAGTCAGCTGGAAACTTCAACATTGTTCATAGCTTGTTCCATATTATGCTGTTCTTTAAAAAGCACAGAATTTATTTGAAGAGCCATATATTATTGAAATATAAGGGATAAGCATTTTAGGAAAAACATACTGACACCAGAACACTTACCATCAAACTCTGCTGGTCCAACTCCTACTATAATTATTGACATTGGAAGCTTTGATGCCTTCAAAACAGAAAGAAAAACAGATTTAATACACAGTATAATCTGCAAATATTATGCTGGACTTGAAAGATTGTTGGACAAAAAGCATTTACAGCTCCTTATATTGTGAGGAGGAAAGGAAAAATTACCCAAGAAAAATACATGTAAGTTGTCTGCTTTAAGTTATATAAAATCTTGGATGAAGATAGTATGATAGTTGATCATTTTGTTCTTTAGAGTTTTGGTTTGTTATTCCCCATAATTTGTCTTTTTATGATTCAGATAAAATAAAAAAATATGAATAAATGCAACAAACACTATTAAGGCATATTAAGAGTGCACAACTAAAATTCCTATAGCAGTTTATTAATCAATGCAAATAAGAGTTGCAAATGTACATCCAAAGGCAGAACTTGACACTTAATTAATACACACAGTAAAGTACACAGAATTTCAAGATACTTGCACATGTACTATTTCTATTCTTGAGGCCTCTCAGAAATAAGACTTTATATCTCTCCCATAAAAGAAATGTTAATTAAATCAATTAGCCCAGAGAATGAGAAAAAAGAAAATAGGATGAGTAACAAAATAAAATTGTGAAAGGTAAAGCTTTTAAAATGAATAGATACTTCAAGTTTTTTATTCTATAAAAACAGATAGATGATATACAGCTTTATGTGAATAAAATATTTGTAAATTCACAGAGGCAATGTCATAAATATTTTAGGTTCCCTTTCCCCGATGGAAGCACAAAACATCTGCAAGTTGCATGAAGACAACCAAAATCCATCAAGCAAATGTCAGAACTAACAATTGTTCCTTACGGGGACATACTGCTAAACTTTGAAATCTTTAAAATCATTCTAAGCAGAACTTGTATATTGGCCCAAATCATACATGCACAATTTCCCATAATAGTAATTGTAGGGAGCAAGTTGGTTTTGAAACACACATAATTTTCTTTTCATATATTCCATTGCCATTTGTCACTCTTTATTTTACAATGCTTTCCATGAGCTAATTTACTTTAGCAAGAAAATATGACAAACAAATTTAATTTTAACACAGCAGACACAATTCTTGAAGACAACAAATTTTCCTTAAATTACTACATCTGAAATTGACTTTTCTGTATAATATAGATCATGTCAATGAAATTGTCAGTTACAAAAGAGAAGTCATATTACCAGCCAGAGTTATCAGCAAATTTTTGCTGCTACTTAATACTGTGCACCATTGTGAATTATACCTAATATGGTAGACAGCTAAGATACCAGGAAATGACTGCAGTTACAGTGTAATTATAAAGTATAATCTAGGTAGTTAACCTTCTGGTTATAGGATCATGTATTAGGAATATATATGTAAAAAGTATAACAAATGTGACAAAGTTCCTGCGCTACCTTGGTGGGTCTTGCGCTTATTGGTGGATTTCCTCGCCTTGGAGCTTCACAGCAGCCCTCAGCTTGGCCGTTTTTCTGAACCCACAGTCCAGGTCGACTCCTCCTGTGTCTGACCAGGAGTTGGGAGGATTTGGGGGGAACCCAGGCCCGCCCTCTACTCCGGGTTCCAGCCCAGGGCCCTGTGGAATGCAGCTGTCTAGAGTGCCTCCTGGAACAACTGTGCAACAGCTACAACTCCCTGGGCTACTTCCCCATGGCCTCCTCCAAACACCTTCTTTATCCTCACCATAGGACCTTCCTCCTGGTGTCTGATAATGCTTGTACACCTCAGTCCTCCAACAGTCCGCATTCCCACTCTCAGCTCCTAGTGCCTCTTGCTCCCAGCTCCTCACACGCACACCACAAACTGAAGTGAACTCCTTTTTAAAACCCAGGTGCCCTGATTAGCCTGCCTTAATTGATTCTAGCAGCTTCTTGATTGGCTGCAGGTGTTCTAATCAGCCTGTCTTAATGGTCTCCAGAAGGTTCCTGATTGTTCTGGAACCTTCCCTGTTACCTTACCCAGGGAAAAGGGACCTACTTAGCCTGGAGCTAATATATCTGCCTTCTATTACTCTCCTTTAGCCATCTGGTCCGACCCTGTCACACAAAGTAATTACAGGATAATGTATTAAATGTTAAATTAAAGGGTACTGAGTATATCAGCCCAGTAGTTAACTGTAGCTATCAAAATATGATTGCAGTGTAATTAAACTGTAACTGCATTATACATACATTCAGTATATACAGTACGTCTTTCACTGCTTAGTGCAACTATATAGTTACTGCATTATAAAATGTATTTAGATATATTTCATAAATAAAATATCCTATAATTTTTATTACAATCTTGTGAATTACAACTTGAATATAAATTACTTTAATGGACTCTATCTCGTATACATAAGCAGTACACAGTACTACAAGATGCTACACGTATGAATCCTATAAGAGGGGGAAGTGAAGCTTGTGAATGCAACCTTACCATTTGGCATCTCCTGAATGAGTACTTAATGTTGCAACTTTTAACACTATATTAATATAGTTTTCCATCAAAGTACAGTGCATGTGACAAACCAGTAATGAGAAAGATTATGCTCAGTGCATGCAAACATCATGTATACCTAAACCACTGGAAATATACTCTGCTTGAACTTCATGAACTTCATTGTCTTATTACACCAAGAAATAGATATTTTTTTTAGTAATTAATGAAAAAAGCTTATCCAATAGCAATTCAATTTCAGAATATTTTGTCAAGTTGACAAATGGATTAAATAAATGTAATAAAATCTTATTCTCAAGAATCCAGGCAGAAAAATTAACATAGCTCCATAAAAATAAAAAGTATAGATATCTCCAACATTTCACTTACTCCAGGTTAAAGATATAGCCATTTAGCTATATTTCCACAATCGTGTAAAGCAGTTTTATTATTGTAGACTCTGTTGTAACATAAAACCATGTTTTGACTGGAACTATTAATTACTGAAACAAAATAACTGTTTTTAGTCATTTTACAGGGTAGTGACAGCTGAGCTGGGTTTGATGCTTTTTTGTTTAACCTGGATGGATGCCCAACTTGGTGTCAGGCTGGACCAAAGGTCATTCCTCTAGCTCTAAGAAGCTGGGAGGGAGGGAAGGAGCTGTGCTCCCAACCTTTAGGCTGAGCTGGAGAAGGAGCAAAGAACCATTTGAACTCTCCTCCTTCTGCAGCAACATTTTTTGCAGGCATTCTGTTTGCTCATTCACCCCCACACACGGCCCAATGCGAAGTGGAAAATGGAGCAGTCATGACAGTGTGGGCTTTGACTGCTGGCAGGAGTGCTCTATCCCCACCATCATCCCCCACCTTTACAGGTGTAAGCTGCCATTCATTCCCTGCAGTTTCACCTCAAAGAGGAAGAAACTGCTTTGGGCACAAACCAGTAAACCATTTTCTTCCTCTCCTTCCAATCCCTCTATTAATATGGTCAGTTTTCAACCACTTCTATCAGACAGCTGGATAAAGTATTTAGGGATATGCTCATGGAGTTGCCCAGAGAATAAATCAATGTGGTTGTGGGACTGTTTGGTACTTTCACCCCTTGCTTTCTGCCTTCCAAGTGGCCAAGCCTCCATTTCCAGAGGAGAGGGAGGAAAAGGGAGTTAGAGGCAGACCTCATAGGGGGAGGGCTAAGTTCCCTCTAAGCTGTGCAGCCGCGTGGCCACACAGCAGGCTATCAAGAGCAGCGCAGCAGGGAGAGGTGCCTCTTCCTCGTTCCCGGGGCTGCTGCAGCCGGTGAGAGGCGCTTCTCCCCTGGCCCTGGAGCTGCTGCAGCAAAAGAGGAGCTGGGGGAGTCCTCTTTCCTCACCACAGCCCCGGGACAGCCTGCACCCCCAAGCCCCTCCATCCCTGGCCCCACCTCAGAGCCCTCACACCCTGCACCCCAATCCTCTGCCCCAGCCCTGAGACCTCTCCCACACTCCAAACCCCTCGGCTGCACTCTCACTACACATCATCTCCTTATTGGTGCACATGGATGTAAAAAATTAGAGGGAACACTGGTGAAGGGTCAAAACAACTTCAGATGTTGATCCATTGGAGGACCTCAGTGTCTAAGATGAATGAGGAGCTATAAATTAGTGGAGGATGGCCATCATGTGCCTGGATTGAGGAATGGAACAAGTATATCTGAGAATTAGCTTGAAAGAGTGAGAGTAAAACAATGCAGCTGCATCAGCCAGAGAAAGAGTTCAGGTATCTGAAAGGGCATTGATGAGAAAGTGAGCTCCAGGGCATCCAGGGGCAATTCCTGGACTTGGGGCCAAGGATCTGGTACAGGAGAAGACTCCATGAGAGCTAGTGTTCATATCTGGTGACCCCTGTAGCTACCAAGAAAGTGGTTTCAGTAGTTGTGGGGAGAGACTCCGTGCCTGCAGTGGGAAGGAAGCAAGGATTGTACCTTCCCAGAGACTATCTGGGAGAGAAGGGCAGTCCCAAGCTGTCAAGCCATCCATGTTTGCACTCATCAGTAGTCCACAACACAGCCAGCATGTACACAACAACAAATGTTTAAAGGCAAGGCACCAAGTCATCCAGCATTTCCCCACAAATGTTTCAACCCTTCTCCAACACTCAAGAATCAACTTATAAATAAGAATCAGTGGAAGTGTATTAATAAAGAAACAAGACTAAATATAAAATGTCTTTTTTTTAAAAAAAGGTTTTCAGTATTTTCTGCCATGATGCATCTTGCCACTATTCTGAATTTGAGTAGAGATTTATGAAATCACCATTTGTGGTCCCATAGTTAAGGTTGGGTTGAATTTTGAACTTCAACCAGGGATTCAAACACTTTGTTACATATGAAAAATACAGCATATCCTCAAAATTACAGCACTTATTTTTTGAATATAGAATGAATTTTTTTAGAAATTCCAAGTAAGAGCAATTAACTATTTTGAGTTAAAATTCCTTTTTAAATGGGTCCTCTAAGAAGCGTAACACCCTTTGTCAGTCTATTAACTGTGGTTCTATAGATCCACAGCTTCGTAGCAAATTTGATATACAGAACCACAGTTTTACCAGCTCTGTTGGTGCTGAGAAAGGCTGAAGAACACCAGACTGACATTTTCAGTTCCCATTGTTCCTATCAGCAACTCCGTATCAAGTGGCAGGACAAGATCAGAAACAAGGATATTTGAAGCCAAAACTAGCAACCTCCATCATCATCACTGTTTTGGTATGCTCATATTATAAGAATGGAAGACCAATAAATTCCAAAGCGTGTGTAGCAAGGAATGCTACTGCAAGGCTGGTGATCACGTAAGCACCAAAAGCTTCATTGGTGCAACAAGATTGTTAGTGATGGTCTTAAACTGAATATACAATCGGACCACCTTAAGCACCTTGCCAGAGATTGTTCTGGTTGGTGATTGATTGGCAAGGAAGTCACATCCCTTTGGCATTTGCCATGAGGACGATGATGATGTCAGGTTATTTTTTTTTGCCTCAAATGATCTTAATAATGGAATAAAACAGACTCCTCAAACTTCCCATGTAGTTAGGGTTTTTTTTTTTAAGGATTAATGTTCCTTTTGTGCTGTTATTCTCAATAACTGAAAGTTTTCTCTTCAGAAGGGGCTGACAAATAACATTCTTCAATAGAGAATTACATCAAAAACTGCCCTCTTTCAAAATGGCTGCCATCTCCTATTATTCTTAATGGAACTAAGGCCACTGGTGCCTTCAACTGAAATATCCTTTTTCAAAATGGCCACCACCTCCCACTGTTCCAATAAGAGTAAAGTCAAGCTGTCCTCAGGGAAGACGGTAGTCCTTGACAGAATAGAGTGTTGATTCATAATCCTGAAATCAAAATTAACTGTAGTTTCTGAAGAAATATCCCTTGTGTATTGGATTTTACATTCTTTGCGAGCTAGTACTAGCATTGATTCTCTCAAAGGCTATCACCTCTATGCATTGCACAGTGAGGTGTCGCCTTGGGTACAGGCACCAGAAAAAAATTCCAGGACCCCACGCATGTGAGGCTGGGGAGAAGCCACTCCTAATATTGGTGATAGCAACTACAGTAGAACCTCAGAGTTATGAACACCAGTGTTACGAACTGATCTGTCAAGCACACACCTCATCTGGAACTGGAAGTATGCAATCAGCCAGCAGCAGTGACAAAGAAAAAAAAGTAAATACAGTACTCTGTGTTAAATGTAAACTGCTAAAAAAAATAAAGGGAAAGTTTAAAAAAAATTGACAAGGTAAGGAAACTGTTTCTGTGCTTGTTTCATTGAAATTAAGATGGTTAAAAGCAGCATTTTTCTTCTGCATAGTAAAGTTTCAAAGTTGCGTTAAGTCAATTGTAGAGAGGTTAGCCGGGGCGTGTCTCTCTCCGGGGCGACAGGGAACCACACCGTCTCACTAAATTGGGGAATAGGTCTCGCGGGGAATTAGTTCAGCCACAGGAGTTGTCCTCTGTGGCCTTTGTGAAGGTGGAAATACCACAGTAAGCCCAGGCCCTAGGTCAGGGCGGGGTAATGGTGAGTCAGGCACTCAGGCCCTCAGGCAGGGGGCTGAGCAACAACAGTATAGAAACAGTAGGCCCAGGCCCTAGGTTCCAAAGGGCCTGGGAGAGGGGGAGACTGCCACCCGAGAGTTGGGTGGCAGGGGGGACGCAGGCCCTCCCACTCCACTGCGTCCCAGCCTGGGGCCCTAGCAGTAGCAGAAGACCCGCTGCTGAGTCAGTGGGGATCCTGGCCGCAACAAACTGACATGGGTTCTGGCAGTGCTGCAGCCAGACTAGGGTCGGCTGCCCCCAGGCTACTTCCAGACTCCTCCTCTTGAGGTACCTGGGTCAGGGTGGTGTCCTCAGGGGGGTCCAGCTCCAAGGGTTCCTCAGGATAGCTGGCCTTTAGGGATAATAAGAAGGTCATTACAATGACTGGGGCCTATTCCTTCATAATCTTATTAACCATCCTTACTTTAAGCCTGTCTGCCTTCAGCCACTGAAAGGAGGCCTTTTAGCCCACTTCCGAGATAGAGACTGAAGCCTCTGTTTCAGAAAAAAGAAAATGAGTATTTGTGGCACCTTAGAGACTAACCAATTTATTTGGGCATAAGCTTTCATGAGCTACAGCTCACTTCATCGGATGCATAAAGTGGAAAGTACAGTGCGGAGATTTTATATACACACAGACCATGAAAAAATACACATTGTAAGGAGAGTGATCACTTAAGATGAGCTATTACCAGCAGGAGAGTCAGGTGGGGGAAGAGAAAACCTTTTGAAGTGGTAATCAAGGTGGGACATTTCCAGCACATTTCCAGGAGTTAACAAGAACATCTGAGGAATGGGGGGCGGAGGGGGGGGGGTGGAGGAGGAATAAACAAGGGGAAATAGTTTTACTTAGTATAATGACTCAACCACTCCCAGTCTCTATTCAAGCCTAAGTTAATTGTATCCAATTTGCAAATTAATTCCTATTCAGCAGTCTCTCGTTGGAGTCTGTTTTCGAAATTTTTTTTGTTGAAGGATAGTCATTTTGAGATCAGAAATCGAGTGACCAGAGAGATTGAAGTGTTCTCCGACTGGTTTATGAATGTTATAATTCTTGACATCTGATTTGTGTCCATTTATTCTTTTACGTAGAGACTGTCCAGTTTGACCAATGTACATGGCAGAGGGGCATTGCTGGCACATGATGGCATATATCACATTGGTAGATGTGCAGGTGAACAAGCCTCTGATAGTGTGGCTGATGTGATTAGGCCCTTTGAGGGTGTCCCCTGAATAGATATGTGGGCACAGTTGGCAACGGCTTTGTTGCAAGGATAGGTTCCTGGGTTAGTGGTTCTGTTGTGTGGTGTGTGGTTGCTGGTGAGTATTTGCTTCAGGTTGGGGGGGCTGTCTGTAGGCAAGGACCAGCCTGTCTCCCAAGATTTGTGAGAGTAATGGGTCGTCCTTCAGGATAGGTTGTAGATCCTTGATAATGCGTTGGAGAGGTTTTAGTTGGGGGCTGAAGGTGACGGAAAGTGGCATTCTGTTATTTTCTTTGTTGGGCCTGTCCTGTAGTAGGTGACTTCTGGGTACTCTTCTGGCTCTGTCAATCTGTTTCTTCACTTCAGCAGGTGGGTATTGTAGTTGTAAGAAAGCTTGATAGAGATCTTGTAGTTGTTTGTCTCTGTCTGAGGGGTTGGAGCAAATGCGGTTGTATCGTAGAGCTTGGCTGTAGACAATGGATCGCGTGGTGTGGTCTGGGTGAAAGCTGGAGGCATGTAAGTAGGAATAGCGGTTTCAGAGTCTCTCCTCCTCACATGGAAAACGAAGAGACATATTAATTGGACTTGAATGCGAATAATTTCATCAATAGGCTCCCAACCTGGCCTGTGATACACACGAAGCTGACCTTGGTGCTAAGTGTGCTTTGATAAGCCAGCCAATCTGGGCTTTCCTTCTTGGTGGAAAACCCTGAGGAACAGAGTGGGAACTTCGACCTAGGACATGAACAAGTCTACCTCTCTTAGCAATGCTGAATGTTTTCTGTCTTTTTAGCAGTTGTATACACACCACGTTTCTGAAGAATCATTTGCTGGAAATGGAGGAGTGACTGTAGATTCATAGATTTCAAGGCCAGAACTGTTGTAATCTAAACCTCCTGTATAACACAGGTCATAGAACTTCCCCAAAATAATTCACAGAGCATATATTTTAGAAAAACATCCGATCTTGATTTAAAAATAGTCATTGATGGAGAATTCACCACAACCCTTGGTTAATTTTTCGAACGGTTAATCACTCTCATCGTTAAAAATGTCCATCTTATTTCCAGTCTGAGTTTGTCTAGCTTCAACTTCCATCCATTGCATCATGTTATATCTTCCTCTGCTAGACTGAAGATCCCATTATTAAATATTTATTCCCTGTGTAGATACTCAGACTGTGATCAAGTCACTCCTTAACCTTCTGTTTGTTAAACTAAGTAGATTGAGCTCCTTGAATCTCTCACTATAAGGCATGTTTTCTAATCCTTCAATTATTTTCATGGCTTTTCTCTGAACCCTCTCCAATTTGTCAACATCCTTCTTGAATTGTGGGTACCAGAACTGGACACAGTATTCCAGAAGTACTCAAATTCTCTGGGTTATGCATCACAGGTTCACATTAGCTCTTTTGGCCACAACATCACACGGGGAGCTCACAATCAACTGATTATCCACCATGACCCCCAAATCTTTTTCAGAGTCACTGCTTCCTAGAATAAGAGTCCCCCGTCATGTAAGTTTCACCGACCTTTTTTGTTCCCAGAATGTACATATTGACATTTAGCAATTATCAAACGCATATTGTTTGCTTGCATCTAGTATGTCAAGTGATCCAGACAGCTCTAAATCAGTGACCTTTCCTCTTCATTATTTACCAGTCCTCTAATTTCTGTGTCATCTGCAAACTATCAGTGATGATTTTATGTTTTCTGCCAGGTCACTGACAAAAATATTAGGTAGTGTAGAGCCAAGAACCAATCCCGCAGGACCCACTGGAAACACACCTGCTCAGTGACAACTCCTTGTTTACCATTATATTTCAAGACTTCTCAATTGGCCAGTTTTTAATCCATTTAATGTGTGCCATACTAATTTTATATCATTCTAGTTTTTAATCAAAATGTCATGTGATACCAAGTATATTATGTCAGCGCTATTACTTTTAATCAGTCAAACATGTAATCTCATAAAAAAGATATCAAACTAGTTTTACAGGTTCTATTTTCGATAAACCCATGTTGATTTGCAGTAATTACATTACCCTCCTTTCAGAGTAGCAGCCATGTTAGTCTGTATCCGCAAAAAGAACAGGAATACTTGTGGCACCTTAGAGACTAACAAATTTATTAGAGCATAAGCTTTCGTGGGCTGCAGCCCACTTCATCGGATGCATAGAATGGAACATACAGTAATTATATATATTACACACACATACACACACACACACACACACACATACAGATAAGTTAGAAGTTACCATACAAACTGTGAGAGGCTAATTAGTTAAGAGGAGCTATTCTCAGCAGGAACAAACAAACACTTTTGTAGTGATAATCAAGATGGCCCATTTAGACAGTTGACAAGAAGGTGTGAGGATACTTAATTTAAGGAAATAGATTCAATATGTGTAATGACCCAGCCACTGCCAGTCTCTATTCAAACCCAAGTTAATGGTATCTAGTTTGCATATTAATTCAAGCTCAGCAGTTTCTCATTGGAGTCTGTTTTTGAAGCTTTTCTGTTGCAAAATTGCCACCCTTAGATCTTTTACTGAGTGGCCAGAGAGGTTGAAGTGTTCTCCTACTGGTTTTAGGATGTTATGATTCCTGATGTCAGATTTGTATCCATTTATTCTTTTGCGTAGAGACTGTTTGGTTTGGCCAATGTGCATGGCAGAGGGGCACTGCTGGCACATGATGGCATATATCACATTGGTAGATGTGCAAGTGAATGAGTCCCTGATGGCGTGGCTAATGTGATTAGGTCCTGTGATGGTGTCACTTGAATAAATATGTGGACAGAGTTGGCATCGGGCTTTGTTGCAAGGATAGGTTCCTGGGTTAGTGTTTTTGTTGTGTGGTTGCTGGTGAGTATTTGCTTCAGGTTGGGTCATTACACATATTGAATCTATTTCCTTAAGTTAAGTATCCTCACACCTTCTGGTCAACTGTCTAAATGGGTCATCTTGATTATCACTACAAAAGGGTTTTGTTTTTTTTCCCTCCTGCTGATAATAGCTCATCTTAACTAATTAGCCTCTCACAGTTTGTATGGTAACTTCTAACTTATCTGTATGTGTGTGTATATATATATATATGTTCTATATGTGTGTGTGTGTGTGTATGTATATAACTATATGTTCCATTCTATGCATCCGATGAACTGGGCTGTAGCCCACGAAAGCTTATGCTCTAATAAATTTGTTAGTCTCTTAGATGCCACAAGTACTCCTGTTCTTATTACCCTCCTTTAATTCTTTATTGAGTCCTGTATCAGTCTCTACATTATCCTGCCCAGGATCAATGTCAGGCTGACAGGTCTATAATTACCCAGGTCACCCTGCTGTGCCAATTTTTAAAAAGGGAAAACATTAGTTTTCTTTCAGTCCGGTCTGCTGGAATTTCTCCAGTACTCCAAGACTTATTGAAAATTTAAACTGATGGTCCAGTGAGCTCCTCAGGCAGCTCTTTTAAAACTCTTGAATATAAATTATCTGGACCAGCTGATTTAAAGACATCTAATTTTAGTAGCTGCTGTTTAATGTCTTCCAGATATTGGTGGAATGGAAAGAGTGCTGTCATCACCATATGATGAGACTATATCATCTGTTTTTTCCCCCAAATGCACAACAGAAATACTTAGTGAACACTTCTACCTTTTCTGTATTATTATTGATAATTCTGTCATTTTCATCTAATGGACTAATATCACTTTCAAAATATTTTTTATTCCTATTTAAACAACTCCTTATTGTTCTTAACTGTGCTGGCCATAGATCTCTTCTTCTGTTCCTCAGCTTTCTGTATCAGTTTTCTACAATTCCTAACTTCTGGTTTACATTCATCACTATGAACTTCCCCTTTCTTTCATATGTTATATTCTTCTTTCTATTTTTTTTTATAGCTGCCTTCATTTCCCCTCTAAACCAGGGAATTTTTTTAACCAATAAGATCTTCTTACTCACTTGTGAAGAAGTTGTTTTTTTTGGCATCTAGTAAAGTGTTCTTAATTGATTACCAGTTATCATTCACATTTTTCTGATTACATTCTTCCTCACAGCTGATTTGGCTCATAATTGCTTTCAGCTTTGTGAACTTGGCCCTATTAAAGTACCAAGTATATATATAATTGGTCTGGACTTTATTCAACTTGTACATTACAACTGTGATCAAGTCATGATCGCTTGTACCTAAGCTACCATTAACATTTTTAGTTCTGTGATCAGTTACTGTTCATCTATTAGGACATGGTCTAATAAAGAATTCCCTGTGTTGGCTGTAACACTTTTTGAGTTAGGAAATTATCATCTATTATGTTCAGAGATTCCAAGGATGTTTTAGTACTAGCTGCATGAGACTTCCAAAATGAGTGACTCAAATTGAATTCCCCCACGATCACACAGGTTTTTCCTTACACACTATAGATAAATGCTTAAAGAGGTGGTCATCCTGTTTCCTAATGTGATTTAGCAGTCTGTAATAGACACCAATACCCTATCTTGTGCTTTATCTATTTTGACATTGATCCATATGCATTTAAGATTTTCTTCTGAGTTATCAGTGAGTGAGAAACAGCTAATGCCATTTTTGACAGAGTGCCATTTCGACTCCCCTTTAGCCCACTTGATCCTTCCTAAATAGGTTATAACCACTGATTTTAAAATTTGAATAGCAAGAATCATCCTACCAGATTACAGTAATATCAACTAGATTTAATTTATTCTCATAAATGTATGACTCCAGTTCCTCTTGTTACCCAGGCTCCTAGCACTGGTGAAGAGACAAAATTCTTGAACTGCCTATACATGTTCTTTTCTTGATTAATTTTGTTCTTAACATCTCGATTTTGTGCTGAGTGCTCATACCTACCCTCTTTTTACCCTCCCCTTTTGTGGTTAGTTTTGCGCCCTCTTGACTATTCTAGCCAGCCTGTCCTGATGAGATTGGTCCCCCTTCTAGTGAGGTGGAAGCCATCCAAACCCCTGTGCCTATAGAAGGTGGACCAATATTCCACAAAACCAAAAGCTTCTGCCTTACATCACTTACTTAACCAGTGGCTCTAGAATCTTCCACTTTCTGTCATGAGACAGGTCATATTCCATGTCACCTTCTTTGGGCAACATTCACACTCTCATCATATAAAGATCACATAGCAATCCAGATATGTTCTCCCTACCTGAGTTCTTGTATCTGTACTGATGTTACAAACATTTCAGAGTTGTGAACAACCTCCATTCCTGAGGTATTCGTAACTCTGAGATTCTACTGTATTTCCACCTGGAATATTGATCTCTGTATGGGCTTGTTGAATGGGTTGCATTCTACAATTCTCTTTGCAAGACAAAGAATCTTGTGGAATCTTGTAACCGCTCCAAAAGATTTGGCTCTCCACAGAATTGGTTCTATATTCCAGTATGTAGGAGATGGTCTATTGCACCCTTCATCTTCTGATGCTTCGAAGGTTCTCATAGTGTTGGTTTATTCATTTATTTTGAGTAAAGAATAAACTTGTCCCTAGGACAACAAGCAAGTTATATTGAATATCTTTCCTTGATTATCTCAAGTATTTGTTTTCTGATGTTGCTCATTCCCAGGTGAAGGCCCACCCTGAAGTCTCCTTAGGGGATGTTGGGCGGGGGGATCTTCCCAGTCTTGGACAACCCCAAGAGATGCTTTTGGGAGTGGATGGTTTTTCCAGAGAATCCCATCCTCTCCAACTCTCAGGAAAGGCAGCAATGTCCAACTTCTGTGTAATCTATGCTCGAACCTAGAGGAACAGGAGGATCAAATGGAACATCTGCTGAGGTATGGTACTTTGAAGATTCTCTCACTGGAAGGAAGGAGGGATTTATTCCTTCTCTAAAGCCTCAGCGACAACTTTGTCTCAGTACTCCCCAAAGAACTGATCAACAAAATATTTGGAAGGATAATCAGATGTTAGACAGCAATTCCAGTTTCTTCAAATGGAGCCGTAGTTGCCCCCAAGACACATCTTTGGAATTTTTGAATGTACAGAAAATCTGTCAAATGAAACATCACTTGAAAAAGCTGCTAGGGAAACCTAATTCAAAGCAGATTTCTTTTTTCATGCTCTCAATTGCCTCCCAGCAGAGCATAGATAGCCACAATAAAAAAACTGCGGCCAATACTCTCAGGAGTGAAGCTGCTGTATACAACTTTGGTCTGAATGTTGCTCCTATTCTTTTGATAAGTTTGGCAAAAATACTTCCTTGGTTGCTGTGACTAAGCCCTTTACTAAAGAGGTTGCAGCAGGCTTAACCTTTGACAGAGTAATGAAGACCCTTTAGTCCTTAGATACAAGTAGGTCTTGATAGGGAATTCCACTCCACTTTAATCATAAAATATCACCTCATTAAATAAGTGAGAAAGAATTTCAAAGGTCTTCTTCAGTTTTGTACAGTTTTGTTTTTGTTTTGTTTCCACTTTAAAAAAAGCCACAACCACTTCTGAAGTTAGATCCTCATTTGTGCATAATTCTGGGAAGCTTAGTTGAGACTCTGAGGGATCTTGCAAAAAGCCCCAGCTTCAGAGATTTCTCCTTCTCTTTACAGGATCAAGAGGGAGACTCTCTCATGAAAGGTTTTAAGACTTTGCGCTGGCCCTTTAGGATCTGATTGTGAGCAATACTGTTCACCATTCCTTGGGAAAAATCCTGAGAGAAAGAGGGAGGAACCCTGTGAAGAGGAGAGTGCACTACCATTAGACTGAAAGGTCAGTCTGCAGGAATGTATTCTGCATGTATCCCTTCAGAAAACAGTAGCCACTTTATGGCCTGCGTGGGACCCCTGGAGGCTAGAAGGACAGAGAAGGTAGGTGTATCTCACAGACAAGAGGATCTGAATCACTTCACCAGCTGCTGTTGGGTTTGGGCTGTGTGGGGACCATCCACACAGAATGAGGAGTGGGCTGCAGGCATTGAAGACAACGGACTTATTAGTTTCAGAAAGGTCACAGGAGCTGGCACGTTTCAAGGCACATGAGGACTTGCAGGTAAAACCGCTAGTGAGAAGGGGCTTGCTCTGTGGCTTTTTAAACTCTCTCAGCACAGATCTTGCTTATGTGCCGGCTAAAAGCAGGAATTTCATCCTCCTCGTTGCTATGGGGGAAACTTGTCTTGCCCGGAGATTTAGGAGATTCCAGGGAAACTTTCCTGCTTGTTCTGGAAGCTATAGCAATAGGTGTCCCATGTCTGGGGGAGAAGCAGAAGGGTTTTGAAAAACATACATCTGGTTCCAGGCCACTTATTCTGCCCTTATCTCAGCAAAGGCAATTTCATCTGTGTTGATGTAGATCTTGCTCACACATCAGGTGGGAGCTAAGTTTCTGCAGCCTGCTATTGTCTGCCATTTCTGAGAAGGGAGGGGAAGAGAGGTGCTGTCCTTCAAACCCTTCTCAGAAAGTCAAAATAATTTTTTAAGTTTAGCAGTTTTGAGCAGAAAAACTTCAAAACCAATGAAGAAACTGACTTCAGCTAAAAATCTTTAAAAAGATGCTACAAAAGGAAAGCTGGAGTCTGCAGTACATGCCACTCAGAGGCAAATAATCCTGGAAAGGCATTTTTCCTGAGGGTTCATCCTGAGCCCAGGCTTATAGTAAAGATCTGGTCTTCATTCACAGATTTTAAGACCAGAAGGGTCTGTACAGAGATGGAGAACATCCCATTCCAAAGACCATCTGACATAAAGAGGACTGAGAAGTCATTTATTTCTAGATTGTACAATCAATATATAGTATCAGCTAGAAGACCACAAGTTCCTCAAAGCACTGATTTGATAAAGCTAGTTAAGATTTCACAGTTAAGTTTCATTTGGCCTTTATCCCTGGCAATTTTTATTATTTGAAAAGAAGAGTTTACTGTCCAAAATATTAAGACCAGGAAATATACTGCTTATAAAATATAGAAACCCAAGTTTAAATAGAACTTACATTAACTATAGATTCCTTTGTTTGCGCCATGTCTGAAATAACCCCATCTGTAATAATGAGAAGAACAAAATACTGGGAGCCATCTTTTACTGAGGAAGCATATCTGAAAGAACAACAACAAAAAAGACCAAAATTATAACAGCAGAAAACCTGTACACAAACAGACTAAGATGACAAAGTATACTTTTACAATTCAATTGCTTAAAACAGTAATGCTGAATGTCTCTGCTAGGCACCCCAAAGAAAAAGCATTCATAGTTAAAACAGACAACTCTGCCTTTAGCCGAATATGTTCTAACAAAGTAACTGTGGTATGTAGGATAACTGTGTTAATAGATATCTGCAGAAGCAACTGAACAAAGTTCTCTGTGGCTGCAGAATCAATGAAGTGTGAGAAGTATATTGTTGATAGGTTACAGCAGCAGAGGTAGAATGGAAAATGTAGTATCTGGCAGTGCCTTAGAACTGTATTAGTTATTAGGGAGTTATTAGAACTATGGAGGTAGTTGCTGGGGTCTAATGGGGAAATATAATTATGGTGCATTTAAAATAATTAGGAATCAGCACACGATATGAAGATCTTGTTAAACACCTGGAATGTTTCTGGGTCATATGCAACAGTTTGCTATATTCTGCATCAGCAGTTCTAACCCCTGAAATTAGCCATCCCCACATGACCTGTGAAGATTGTGTTGGATCCACCTCTGAGGATTATGCACAAGTTTCACCAGCAGAAGATACCAAAATGATCACTTTTTCTTGGGTAGCAGAACTGGCAACAGTGAATCTGCATCAAGAATAAGAGTATGATGCAGTTTCAGTATGGAATGCCATAACTAGTAAATATCCCTTGCTCCAGCCTGCAGCTAGGGGTTATTTTACAAGTTAATATATAAGGCACTACATACAATAGTTTACACACAGACTCTCACTGTTTTATTCTACTTTATAGTCTTTCTTTATTTAAGAGATACAGGGAAACAATTAAATTATTTGCTCAGGAATCTGTTTAGCTAAAATTACCTGGTCCAAATCACGTGCCCTAGATCAACACACAGAGGGAACCTTCTGTGTGAAGCTCTCCCTAATATTATTTAGAAATCAGGCCTCAGTCACCTTCACGGAAGCATCTCTCCCCTCAGAAGTCTCGCCAGGTATAGGGGCTATACTGAGGGAGGATGCAGAAGAGATGCACATCATCCCTCCTATACCCCAATGGGGAATCTCCAAAGAACATAGTATACTCTCCAGGCTGTATTACCTCTTCTGATGAGTCCACTCCACCTGGGGGCACTGGGTCAGACGGAGGCACTGGTAGTGTGATGAGCCAGGCTACCAGGGATACATCAGTATTAAAGTCAATGTAAAGGTGTAGGAATGCAGAGATCCTCGGGGTTCTGCCAAGTTTAGGGTTCTGTCATTTTCATGAGAGGTAAACCCTGCTCTCTCCCCAAAAGGAGAACTCTGCAGAAGCATCCCCTTGGAGATTTTCTTCCATAGGGACTTCTCCTTTTGGTTTTAACATGGGAGGGTATGATCTGGGCATCTGTTATTTATCTGTCACACCATAATGCATAATTTCATAGTTGGTCCCATGTGGATTATGAGCCCATACAATAGCACAAAGTAGTCCTATAAAAATGAAGTAATATATATATGTGGAACAACATTTCACTCACTAGTATCCAGAGTGATTTTTTAAAATGTATTTTTTACATCTCCTACCCTGGTCTTCATTGTTTAAAATGTACATAAATGTAGTATATTAAATTAATTTATATTTAAAAAATCCTAACAAGAACTAGGGATGTGCATTCAAAATTAAACTAGTCTCATGAACTTTCATTGTTGTAACCTTCATCCTCCCACATCCCCTCCATACTGCTTTTGTTTTTGCTATATTAAATCTAAGCACTTTGGATTAAGGACCTGACATTTTATTTGTTTGGAAAATACCATTCGTCAAAATTAGTTGATTACTACAAGTTGAAGACACTGAAAATTATATCTTTTTCCTTTAGTACTGCTTAATGTAACTGACAATAAGCATTTCTGTGTGTGAGACCTGGGTTGAAAGAGCTTTCTCAGGAATGGACTTGTTTCTCAGGAATGACAGTTTGTCAAAGGGTTTCTGCAATGGCATAAAAACAATTGAAAAAGCAGTTGCAGAGGTTTAAGTGGTAGCTGCATATTCCTTACTATAACCATTGGTCTTGTCATTGTAGATTTTTACAAACTGAGAAAACAATGTGTAGGATTCAAAATATAAAGCTGTTTTAGATCGTCAATTCAGTTTTACAAGTAGGCTGTTCAAATAGAATGGCTAGCAATCTGCCTTTTCTTTACTACCATGGAATAGTAGCTGTTTAAATGAACTATCCTGAAACTAAGTATTTTACTTACTCTGTACACTTAAGCTAACATAGTAATTCCTAAAATAAATTAGTACTGGAAATAAAACCATTTATGGGCCAACTCATTTAAAAAGAGGCACGTGTAGAAAGAAGCCTTAGATTCCTTACTCCACTGGCTCAGGGAGTAAAAGTCCAATGCAAACATTATATATAGGACATTATATACAATGTAAGATGTATCAGCAATCTACACTGAGTAATTTCAAGGAAAACTCCCAGTTACCAGCACAATTCAAAATAGTTCTTTGTAACTCTAGTTTTTCACTTGCATTTTACAAAAGTAAGGAAAAAGTTCTGAGCTATGCAATTATACATTTATTCTTGGGACCTCATGGTCACATGGTTAATGAAATTAAGTTTTCAGGAAGTTCATAGCATAACAAGGCACAACTCAATCAAAAGTAGTACATTGCAGGTGTTAACTAACTAAAATACTTGTTATGACAGCACGGGAGGAACTAAGAATATTATCTCAACAGTAGCACTGTCGCAGCAATCAGTCACATCTTCATCAACTAGGCCACAGGGGACTCCAATGGCTGGTGAAACAGTACATCAAAACCATGGAATCTGGATGTATCCCAAAAGCCTGGCGGGAGGCGATAGTCATTGCCATATGCAAGCTGAGCAAGTTGACTGATGATCTAGTAAGTTATAGGCTGATATCACTCCTGTGTACTATCTACAAACTTATTCTTCAGAGAATCAGTCTTCTTGCTGAGTCAATGAACCCCAAAGAACAAGTGGGATTCCGGCCTAAATGCACTTGTTGCGACCATGTTTAGGTGATTGTAACACATATTAAGGAAAGATTCCAGAAAAAAATTAAGATCAGCACAACCTTTGAAGATGTGCCATCAGCCCACAATACAGTCTGGATTAAAGGCCTGATGCTAAAGCTCACAAGGATCATCCCCTGCCACAAAATCCTACAGCTACTGTGGATGATGCTGAGCAATAGGTGGTTACATGTCCACCTGGGCAACGCACGTCAGTTCACTCTGGTTCCTCAACAATGGACTGCCACAGGCTCAGTACTCGCACTGATGCTTTTCAATGTTTACAAGAGTGACATGCCTCCAAGCAAATTTGCATATGTGGATGACCTTCCCCTGACAACAGAAGCAGCCACCTTTTGCGACATCAAGTCTACCCTGAACAGGGACCTACACACCAAGAAGGAACATTTCCAGATGGAGGCTCAAGCCAAATCCTCACAAAACAGTCACTTCATTCCATCTTGATAACAAGAAGCTAAGCGCACCCTAAAAGTGACCTTTGGCGACACTGTGTGACATGACACCACCTCAACCTATCTCGGAGTAAAGTTGGATTGCCTGCTAACCTTCCACAACCATCTGAAGAAGGTAGCTGTCAAGATAAAGACAAGGGTCAACAAGGTCCAGAAACTGGCAAGCACAAGTTGAAGAGCATCAGCATCCCAGTGTTATGGACATCAGTGATGGCCCTTATGTACTCTGTAGCCGAGTACCGTGCACAGCTATGGACAAGTAGCCATACTTGACTTGTTGATGTCCAACTAAATAGTGCAATGTGGTGCATCACTGGAACCATCAATTCGACCCCAACACCTTGGCTGTCAGTGCTGTTGCACATTGCTCCCCCATCCATTCGACGTGATGCCGCAATCCTTTGGGAATTCCAGAGGATCATGGAAAATAAACATCTTCCCATTCACCAGGGCCTTAACAAAGTCCCCCACCTCCCCAACACCACCTGAAGTTGTGTAGGACCTTTTGGTCTCACACGTTTAACCTGCAACAATGCAACTTCAACCCTGATGAAGCCTGGAAAGCCGAATCGAGTTCACAAAAAGTTATAAATAACTCTTATGAAAGAGCTGATGCAGAAGATCTCTGGCTTTGATCTCCCATGAAGTTCATGGGCAACTCTAAACTGTATCTGCACAAACTATGACAGATACGGATACTTGCTGCACAAATGGAAAATTAAAGACTCTCTGGTGTGCGACTGTGATCACCCAGAACAGACCATGGAACATATAAAAACTCAATGCTCAATTCACAAACATGAAGGAGACGTCACAGCAATAGACTCTGCTATTCCAGACACAATTATCTGGCTTAACCATCTAAATGTAAAATTATAGTTGTTGCTCTACATTTACATCAGCCATACAAAGAAGAATATACCTTTTATGTCTCCTAGTTTGTTTTAATGCTATACTTTAATATTATGTTGTAAAAGATGTACTGTTATTGCAATTTGTGCTTTGCATAAGGTATTTAACAGAAATTTTAGTTGCCAGTTGTAAATGCCATAAATGGCAGGTCATAAATCCAAGGGCAATTTTGGTCAAAAGGCAAAAGAGCATCTTCTGAAAGAACAGGACACTTCCCCTTGTACAAGACCCACTAGTCTGGTTTACATATGATCTTTGTCTCAAGAAAACAAACTTTTTAAAGAGTTTTATGTTTTAGAGAAAGACCTGGTAGCGCAAAAAAATGAGGATTTTTTTTCCAGGTTATTCCAAAGAGAAGTATAGGGATGTGTTATCAGAGCTATAAACTAAGACACAGAAGTGGGCTTTTTCTTTAGACCCGCCTCTGTTTTGCAAGAAAAAACATCAGTTAAAACACCTACAAAATTCATACTGAAATACATTTCTTTTACAAAAAGAAAAGGAGTACTTGTGGCACCTTAGAGA